AATAATTAAAGACTGAATAAGGAAATATAATATTCTTTCTGAAACCACAAAGTAAATAATTTAGAAATGAACTGACTCTTACTAAGCCCGCCCCCTTTTGCCGTATGCGCTCTAATTCTATGTGAAAGGCCACATTTTAATATATATAATATATAATATATATTATATAATATAAATTATATTATTATATATTATATATATATAATATTATATATAATATATATTATATATTATATATATTTATATATATATATATATAAAATATATAATTATAAATTATTTATATATTATATATATATTATATATTATATATAATAAAATATAAATATAATATATACAATATATTATATTCTATTATATATTTATTTTTATATAATATATATTTCTATATAAATATATTATATATATATATTTTTAATATATATATATATTATATATAAAATATAAATAATATAAAATATATATATGTGTGTATATATTTATATTATTATGTGTGTTTAATTATTATATTGAGAAATATATATAATATATAATATATATAAATATATTATATCAACATCTTAAGTTAGCTAATGTTAGCCAAGTAACACTAGCGGAGAGGTGTGACATTGTGTAGCAGCTGGGGCTTGTAGTCGTGGAGAGGGTTTGAGGCTGGGAGGTAGCGGATTTTTGATTCTAATCGAGGTTAGCTAACTTATATTTTGTCTGTGGTGTGGGGTAGTCTGTGTTGGAGGATCTATCAGAATGTGTTATGTCTTTTTAATCACTAGATATTTTATTGCTAGCATTTATGAACAGATAATGAGGAGGAGAGTGATGGAGGAGTCAACTGTGATTGGATGCACAGAGCGTGAGAGAGCGGGCTTAGAAGTTTGGTCATGTCCTGGTGTTTTTTTTTTTTTCTTTAATTATGATCTATATTCAGTTAATTTGTTATTTATTAGTTTGAGCTTTGTATTGTTTCCATTTCCCCTTCCATCCTTCACTACACACCCCACCCCACACCGCTGCGATGACACGTTCGACACTCTGAGTTCAAACTGTCCTTGAATAGCTTTTCATACCTCTTTGACGTTGTCCAAACGGATTCGGTATCCGTTCGGAGGTCCGAGAGACAAAGAAAAACCAGAGTTTGTATAAAAAACCGTGTTATCTATAAGAACGTGGTCAGATGGTTTGTTCAGCATTGAATCATTCTCGAGGTTGGAGCGGAAGCACGGCAGTGGCGGTCTCCCAAACACGATACAATGAACAGAAGGGTAAGTCAAGACCACCACTTAGAGAATGTCCTCCTTCTGCAGACTGGATTACCCAAAGTCCGACCCAGGAACCGGACCCGGACTGGACCGGGAACCCCTCAGATGGGGCTGGAACGGACTCCGCTGGGTTAAATGCTGCCACCTGATAAAAACACAGGAAAGATCTAAAAGGAATAGATACACCCTCTCTCGCTCTCTTTCACAACACCACTAACGCGTTTAAATAATGATTTCTATGTGATAGCTCTAAGTTAGGTAGCCTAGACTTAGCAATAAAGACTGAAAGGAGGTGGAGAGCAGCATTAGTATGTTCAAATACTGTACAAAAAATGTAGGTGTTGATGTCCCTGGTGTGGACAAGAGGGCAGGAGCTGGGGGTTCCCTGTGGCCGAGTCCTATGCTAAGCTTATCCAGGGGGCGGCGTGGTGTGGCGGTGGGAGGGGTGCACCCGTCTATTAAATTTGTTTGAACCCTCCTCCCTCCTAAGACCTCTGCTCGCTCCACCCCACACCTTCCGGACTCTTTATGGTTTTACATTTTTACTGTGTAATACCAAGCGCTTCCTTCCCTCCATCCCAGCACCACCGATCCACCAGCACTGGGCACGACCAGTCCGGGCGCAGGTCCGGTCTGCCGTCCACTCCGCGTCTCTCGCCATACCGAGCTCTCCTCGTATGCATGAAGGTTGAGAAGCAACACTGAAGTGATTGAATCACAGACAACAGAAAAGGCGCAGCGTACACAGTGCTGCGAGCTTGGTCAGCCGAGTAGGAGGAAAAGATTTTAGAAAATGCAAACCATTTAATCTTGACGATTAGCGTTTTGTAGTATTCAGGTATGGCGTTATTGATCCCCTGTGGTGTCGAGTCCGTATGGCCCCGCCCCACCCCCCCCCTCCCAGCCTTCCTTTCACACCCACTCTGCGATCACAGCCACTCGCTTCTGTGTATATAAGGAAAACCCAGAACAATAGCGTACACTATATCCTCTGCGAGCCCTCACTGGCACTGGGGTTTTATAAGAGTATTAATAATAAAAGCGGTGTTGTTCATTAGTTCGTTGTCGGTCCTCTGTCTCTGTATACTCCTCACAGGAACATAAGTCAGTGGATCAGATAGATGGAATCTGAAATCATGAACAGCTGTATTACAATGCGTTCGATTAGCCTAGCATTAGCGCAACTGTGATTGGAGCGCATAGCAAAAAGGGGCGGGGCTTAGTAAGAGTCAGTTCATTTCTAATATTTACTTTGTGTTTCAGAAAGAATAATTATATTTCCTTATTCAGTCTTTAATTATTAATTTTATAATCAATCAATCGACTTCCATCGATCAATACAACAAATGATTGAATATGGAAACTTCTCCAATTCTCAGAATCAGTTTCTGACTTGTTGAAATTAAAGTAATTTCCCCCCGGGGATTATTAAAGTATTTCTGATTCTGGTTAAAAGACAAAATGAGGAAATTGAACATTTAGTGATATAAATAATCTTTTATTGACGATCAGTTGCTGATTGGTTTATATTTATTGATCCATCTGCCTGTGAACTGCAGGTTTTCTTGTTGTATCCAACTCAAAGCTCCCAAAACTCTCACAAGGGTTAAACTGTTTAGTGCCTTAATGCGAAGGAATATCTTCTACAACAGTTCCTTTAATCAGGATTCTCAATGTGCACTCGAGGTCAACAACAGCAACGATAGACAGCAAAGTCTCAAATCTCTCCTTTCTCATTATGGATCAGCGCTTATTGTGTAGCTTTAAGTCGACTCGAGTAAAAACTACACTTCCTGAGCATGATTAAGTACTTTAAAGGTAGCTCTGCAGGTCAATAAGAATTTATAATAACACTAATTTTGGGGGGTTTTGCCGTCGTGGAGTCAGAGACGAAAACCGACCTGGGTCAAAACAGATTGAATGCCCGAAATCACTTTAGAAAATTAGCTGGAAAGAACATTTTCATACTTTTCTCTGATGAAAATGAACCCAGAATAAGTGAAAGACTCATGTTTAACTAGTTTAACTAGTAACTAGTTAAACTAGTAACTAGTGTTACTGTGAGTCTTAAATAAATCTCAGGACAGAAAATCTTTCATCAGGTTTCCAAAAGTTCAACATTTCCTGCTGAATCAGATAGAAAGAGTTGAAGTACTTAAATCATGTCAGATCCTTCATAACCTCAACCATAATCTGAATATTGCTAGAAAACTAAACGCAGACAGCTATCTTGTTTTTCTAGTCTTATTGTTGTTTATAGTTGACATCACTTCCTGTAGCGTTAGCGGGCTGTCGACCACCGTGCAGTGCCGTGGGACAGTTAGTGGCGTCAGGTTGAGATTCACTGTAACAGCGGGATTAAATGTGTTTAAGGTCCAAAGATGCAGAGAAATATAAATTAGTGTGTCTCATGAAGCAACCCGACAAAGAACATACGAGTGAGTAAGAACATTACGGAAGATTTATAATGCCTCAATTAAAACAAATCATGCTCAGAAAATAAAGTTATTTTATGTTTTTAGTGTCATAATTCAATAATGTTAAAAGGATAATTATTAACTTTGTCTTTAATAACTAGAGCTTGTTTTTCTTTGTGACGTTAATTTTCCAAATAAAAATAAAATCACAACAAAGTAAATTAGGTGAAGATGGATCTTATTTCACTGTACAATCTTAATCTTAATGTTGGCAAAATGCAAACTAACTAGTTCGGTAATCTACAATAATCGTTAGCCAGCTAATTAGCATCCATTGAGCTAACATTATCAATCAGATGTAACCAGCTGGTTAACGATCTATAGCGTTCAGGTGGTTATTTTATAATTGTTGAGCTTTTGTTAAATATGTAAAACGTTATTTTCCTTTATTGTGAAAACCACGAGTATATATTTCATTGTAATTATTATTGTCTATTTGTAAGTGCTAAATATATACAACACAAATATAGTTTAAATATAATATATTAGGTCTCTGCTGCTCTCTGCTGGACAGCTGAAATATATGACACCTCTTTATTTAGGTTTCTGTGTTGTGATTTTATTTTAATGTGAAAAACTAATTTATTAAAGACAAAACACTACATTATTCCTCCTTAAACACACATTAAATTATGAGTCAATGCATACATAAAAAGGAAACATACAAAACTGTGTATTGCATTTCACTCAATTTGTTTTACTTTAGGAATTTTAAATCTTCCGTACCCATCAGCGAGGAAGCTTTAAGCGAGTTCAGATAGATTTTAAGCCTTCTTCTAACTAACTGCAGCACCTGTAAGTACCAGCGACGCTGAATGAAGTTAATCACAGAAAAAGAAGTACAAATATTTGACCTATGACCCCGACGTTAGCTCGTGGACTGAGAGTAAAAACTACCACGAAAACCAGCCGAGTACACACGTCTACCACCAGCTCCCTACGCTAGAACACAGAGCGAAGAGTCTTCTACACCGTTAACGAAACACTTAAAGGTGGACACAAACAGAAAAGTGGTTTTAGGTGAATCCGTGTGGGACAGACGTGATAGTGAGCGGGCTGACTACAGAACAGCAGGAAGTCTATGTAATAGTAGAAAAATACATGTTAGAAAGGTGTGACTGAACTTACGTTACCCCCCCCCCCCAGTAAAGCTACGTCAGTGAGGACCTTCGACAGCTAACAAAATATCAAAGACAGGTTTCAGGAAAGAAGCCGGGAAGATCATTCATCGTAAAACAAAAAACATCCCTCTGAAATATGACATTTATATATAATTATTTCAGCCACCTGGAAATTATTTTGAAGAGATTTGGACTTTTTAAAATGTTTTTTTTTCCTCTGATAAACTGCGTTGTTGTTGTTGTTGTTGTTTCCATCGTTGTATTCAAGCAGTCTACCCCAGTGCTGGTGACAAATATACAACTAGTAGACAATCTTCATTATTTTAGTCAACAAAATAGCAACCCAAACTATGTTTTATCCATTGAAGCGTGAAGACGTTCCACCTCCCACTGAGACTACGCAGCCACTTTGTTGTCCTTCTGGAAGAAAACGACAAACAAAAACAACAGAACAGAATTAAATAAAACATTTTATACTCTTTATGAAACATGTAGAAAACAGGCTACAACATCTTAAAGCTTCCATGTATCAGACTGTGACTCCTGTTGCTGTCTCATGATGCTAATTATGTATTTTAACAAACAGTGTTGATGTTAGCCAACAACAAATGATGCTAACAGTACAAAGCTAACGATAGCTTTCCATTAGCTGAGAGTGAAGCGAGGTAGAGGATGATTGTCAGTTATTTTACAGCGTTCAGTGTCACTGCTAAAATAAATGAGAATGTGTTGAACCTGTAAATTAACTGTTACCCTGTATGCTGATAAGTCGGCGAACTCCCGTCCAGCCTGGTTTCCTCTGTATCCGCCCCTGAAGCCGCCGCCTCCCTGTGGCGGCCCGAAGGACCCTCGGCTGGCCGAACGACCCCGACCTCCGCGGAAGCCCATACCGCCACGTCCACGGTAACCTCCGCGTCCTCGGCCCTGACGAAGAGGGATGCCGAACGTCTCGGCGTTCATCCTCCTCTCCTCCGCCCAGGTCTGCCTTCGCTCTCTGCAGGAGGACACAGAGGAGGAGGAGGTGGAGAGACGTTACAGAGGAAAAGAACATTTTACATATATTACACTGAAAGGTTGTCTGTTAGCTCCATGCTAACACATAATGGGAGTTACCATTAATTTGCTAAAGACATGTTTTATTCTCTGCTGCTGACTTGGGTTTAAAAAAAACATCCTCCACTAGGAGGCAGGAGACGGCAGCACTGAGCGGCGTGAGAGCGCCGAGAGAGCGCAGAGAGAGCGGCGAGAGAGCGGCGAGAGAGCGCCGTGAGAGCGGCGTGAGAGCGGCGGAGAGAGCAGCTCTACGGAGGAGTTTAAACCGGCTGTTAGCGACACAGAGAGATAAACAACGTACCTCGGGAAAACAGAGCCTCCAGACTTTTCATTTGCTTTCCTGGTGAAAAGGAAACAGACAACACGGTCAGAGAAACATCTCGCAGGAAGTCAGACACAGTCATCAACGCCACAGTCATCAACAGTGGTGGGACT